TTAACTGCCTGTAATGAAAAGACTTTCCCACGCCTTTTTAAAAAAATTAACATATTCATACATTTAAATTACGCATAGAATATACGTACAGAATTTTAGGATAGTCACTTTATGTAAATGAAATTAAGTATGGCAAAATGTGAAGCTAATTTCACTTTTACCTGCATACTCATACTTACACTTGGATGGGCATAATGTGACAATGAGCATATTAAAAACATATGAGCCGCGTCATGACAAAACCAACGTAATGCGTTTGCGACCACGTGATCTAGACAAGCCTTCGCATCCGCGCAGTCTGATCAGGATCCATGCTGTTCGCTTACAAACCCTATAACAAGTAGAGAAACTGATAGCGAACAGCATGGATCCTGATCAGACTGCGCGGATGCGCAGGCTGGTCTGGATCACGTGGTCGCAAACGCATTACGTTGGTTTTTTCATGACGCGGCTCATATGTAAAACTAGTTGAGACAACTACGTAAAAATACTAGAAACGAAAGTATATTTTGCCTAAACAACTAATGGTGTCCTTGGTTAAACGTTTTATATAGAAATAGAAAAAAACGTTATAATGTCACAAGTTAAATCAGACAGTAAAATCAAAACAAAACAAAAAGAAAGAAAAAGAACCATCAAAAATTTATTTCGACCAAAAGTATTTGAGGTTCGAAAGTTACCATTTAGTTACCTATAATTGCCTAAGGATCTTTTTCTCAACAATTGACTTTAAACTGCTTGCTTAAAACGGCCAATTTAATTTATTTCCTTAATTTCGTAAGGTAATGTATTTCAGACACCAAATGCACTGTTATAAAATGCTAATCTTCCTTTTCCAAAACATTAAGTACTCTAAAGTCTTTACATATCTGTCTTAAACGATAAATTTCTAGAGATAACTTTTATAATAAGTTTTCTCATTTCTCAATCGCTCTGAAAGATGAACTTTTCTATAATACATTTCCCCTGCGATTATTATAATTGTCACAACTATTGCTAAAATAATGGCCAAAGTAAGATTGCTTCCCGTGTATTTGTTTTCTTTTTTATGCTCCGTCCTTTCTTTTGCCAAGACTTCAATTGAGGAGTTTGTAGCAATTTCACTTTTCGTCCTGTTGTTTGCACTGCAAACATTTCCATAATCTTGCCGGTTCTTAAAAATAGCTGGATTAATAGTCCCGTAAAATTTAAGCGATAAATGTCTTACTTGAATGTTACCTAAAAAATAAAACAACAAATAATCGAAAATGATAAATTAATAGCTACAAATCTTGGAGCTTGAACAATATTCCAAAATTTTAATATCATATCATATATTAACTAATAAGAATCGACGAAATCACCAATATTTTTGCGTTATTACTTATAAGTTAATGAATCGTTTTATTATGTGTTTTTTCTTCTTCTACAGCTTAATATAACTAAGCATAACGTAATTTTACAAGAAATTGTAGAATGTCAATGTTAAATTAATTTTATTGTCATGGTAATCATTCATTTTGATGTATTTGAAAATGAAATCAAAGTACATTCGTCTTTAATGTAAGCTAACATACTTGCTGAGTGTTTGTCTTGGACATGCAACAGCCACGTACCAAATGGTTTCTCATCCCAGAAATGACTGGATAACAATCGCAGTTTCTGTACATACACTGACTTGCCCTGTAACAAGATTTATTGCAACCTATAGTATACTTACTTCCGACAATTCAAATCAGTTTAGAGCCATCAAAAGAACGATTTTTTTGTCTGACAATACCATGCATTACTTTATTTATCAGAATTATTCTACGGACACTTCAATAACGATAACAAGTTAGCTATTAATGGGAAACTGAGCAAGTAACAAACTGATCAGAAAAATCGCCTTTACGTGTTCTTACAGGTGGGAGTGGCAAGGATCTTGGGCGTTGTTGAGGTTTTGCTGCTGTTTTTTTTTATTTTGATTTCTTTTTTGGGGGTTTGTAATTTTTGAGATTGTGTTTCTTTTTGTCTGGCTTTTCGAGAAAGGGTGAGTTAATGTTATATAGCTTTCGTCGTAGATATAATTATATAGTTAAAATATTTGACTGAACAAAAGGGAAATCTATATAAAAATGATAAACAACTTACTATTTCAGGTTTAAAAGCCATTAAAATTGATGTCGTCCCACCAGAAGATACAAGTGCTACTTTTATTTCAGTTGATGTTGCTTCAAGATCCATTTGAACTTCAACATACTCCAACATAGTCGGACATTCTAACGCTTGGCATTCATAACAAAACTCGAACGTCTGTGTGTGTGCTTGAGGTGGTCTTCAAGAAGAAAAACAGATAACTTTATACCAGGTCTCACATGCAAAAAGCGGATCCAACAGTAAATAAAAACTGTATCACATTTGAGTCTGATCTAAAATTACGTTGCTTACTTTATCCCAATTACATGTTAGAGAGGATTATTTTTGGTATGAAGAAACTAAAAATATTTTTTCGAGATCAGGATACCATGTGAGTGTCTAGACCAATAATTTTTGCAAAAATTCAGATCATTAGCTGGATCCGTTTTTTAAATAATCATTTTTATTGTGAAATATGACGCTTTATTTAATTTTACCCATGAAATATGGTGCTATATCAGTCAAATATATTTCATATTTCTTAAAAATAAATATGAAATATAAATATGAAAGTGGGCGGAGTCAAAACTCATATTTATTTTATGGGACTTCTTTCGCCGTTTTGTTTGAAAAATCTGATAAATACAAAACAACTTTTTCTTGAATTTTGTTTTGAAAACTATCTAGCATGATAGAAAATGGTCTAACTAAGAAAATTAATCCGAACACCAATATCTTTAATTCAGTCATTAACGCTGTACAGACGTTTAAAGAGTTGTTTACATGACGTCACAATGTAGCGCCAAACAGCGCGTGCTTACGCATAAATTACTGCGCGCTGTACAATTGCAGTTGGTAGCAAGCAAGAGGATTCGTTACCATTTTCTTTGATAATGAAATTAAATAAAAAGGTTATTTTTTCGTTTTTCGTGAAATATGGTTTATTTTTTCACTCAACATGATAAAATGCTACATATTTTCACTCGCCGTACCGGCTCGTGAAAATATGTGGCATTTTATCATGTTTCGTGAAAATATATTCCATATTTCACGCAAACGAAAAAATATCCTCTTATTATTAAATTTTACCTATGAAATATGGTGCTATATCAGTCAAATATATTTCATATTTTTTAAAAATAAATATGAAATATAAATATGAAAGTGGGCGGAGTCAAAACTCATATTTATTTTAAGGGACTTCTTTCGCCATTTTGTTTGAAAAATCTGATAAATACAAACAACTTTTTTGTTGAATTTTGTTTTGAAAACTATCTAGAATGATAGAAAAAGGTCTAACTAAGAAAATAAATCCGAACACCAATATCTTTTTAAAAAGTTGTTTACGTGACGTCACAATATAGCGCTAAATATCGCGTGCAAAACAAGACGATACTTATAATTATTACTGCGCGCTGTATAATTGCAGTTGCGTAGCAGGCAAGGGGGTTCATAACCATTTTTCTTTTATAATGAAATTAAATAAAAAGGTTATTTTTTCGTTTTTCGTGAAAAACCGTCCCGGCTCGTGAAAATATGTGGCATTTTCTCATGTTGAGTGAAAATATATTCCATATTTCACTCAAACGAAAAAAAATCCTCTTAAGATTTAAAAGCTTTTAGCGCTTTACACTCATTTTATTTTACGTTATTTTTGTACCCCTGGATTGACATAATGTTGCTCTAATGTTACTTGTTCACAAAATATTCAAGATCAAACCAGGATAACTAAAATAAAAATAATATTCGTTGCAGCAAAATATATCATATTCCTATGGAAGCCTTGGAGGGTCACTTTTGAGTTTCGACTTACGGATGTTTTACTTTTGACTTTCGACTTTTGATTTGTGACTTACGTCTTATGACTTTTGGCTAACCCATTTTACACGTGCTTTAGAAGCTGAAAGCAGCAACTTTGGTTTCAGGTATGTTTTTTAAACGTTTTAAATAATTTCATTGAGATTTGTCATGGAGGAGAGGATGTGTAAAGGAGGAAATTTAATGTTATTTGATATAATCCCATAGTGGTAATATATCACAGACTTAAATTCCACAAGTGTGATTGTGTGTTTTGTGAAATCTGTTATGTTCTAAATATGTTCATTATATAAGTGCTTATACATTTTTTTTGTCCTCATCACAAAAGCTGTTTATGAGTAACAAACAAATACAGTAGAATCCCCCCTTAAGACCACCTCGAAATTAAGACCACCCCGCTATTAAGACCATTTTTTATAAGAACGGAATTTTCTGTTCTTTATGTCAATGGTTACATGATCCAGAATTAAGACCACCTCGCTTATCCACTTTTAAGACCACCAGATTCAGTCCCAATTCTCTATTTTGTTCTTTATTTGACCCCACTATTGAGACCACAGATTTAAAGTCAACACCTACCTTGATCTTTAATTTGTTGTTATGTTGTTATTTTCTGCTTAAATGGTCTTAGGCATAACACTTCATTTCACAAGGTGTCAAAAACACCTTTTATTATTGGGATATTGTATGAAATAAGGTGAGAAAGTAGATTTTAGAGTGGTTTAATGTTGCTTTAAGCACATTGAATTTGCTATGAATTTATTTCTTATTTGATGGGTGCATTATGTACATCATATAATAATTAATATTGAAATCAGATCAAATAGAATTTGATATTAAATTGCTTCAGAAATGTTTTCTTCCCATCAGATGTAACATTATAACATACTTTAATATTTGCAGGTTCAGATACATATTGTTTATTCACACAAAATGACTAAAATAGAACATGGTCGTAAAGTGTGTAAGCAATAAGAATACTCGCAATTAAGACCACCCCGCAATTAAGACCACTTTGGTCCAGTCCCGATGGTGGTCTTAATTGAGGGTTTTTACTGTAACTGTTTTACAAGTAGACAGGGAATACAAGTTTTACGTCTTAAAAAAGCATGGTGGTGCACAGTATTAAAGATGTATCGCAATTCAGCATTTTATTGAGCTTACACAGAATCAGTATTTCTCTGAAGTACTTAGATAGTGTTGACCAATTTCATAAAGAACGACAAGTGCTATGTTCATACACACATGTACAAAGTTAACTTATAATTGTGATCGAGCACCATTTGCATTTAGCATCAATTCTTATTTTGTTGTATATTTTGAAAGACACTTAAGAAAGAACATGATAAATTACTCAGATTAATAACAGAAATATCCTAATAGCATTTAAATTTATATTTTTTCGCACCTATCAATCTTAAAAGAGGAAGCTAAGAGATTTACCCATTTTATATACTATGAAATGTATAAAGATTAAGATAAAAAGATAAACTCTTATTTCAGACACAACTACTGCGACAAAAGGTAGCGAGGATGAAACAACTTTGATGTTGATCTGTGTCTTCATCATTAATACCGTTCGCCGTTCGGTAATTACCAAAGCTACCGTGCCAAGATACCTACCCTCAACATCTCATAAACAAACAAAGACTCTGCTGATAATAGAGGACTTTTTGGTACGGCATGACATAACGACGTCATTTAGAATAGAATTTTTAACGCTTAAAATTTAAAACGTCGTAATGGAATATATACACCTTTTAGACTGGTGTTTGATATTATTAAAGAGAAAGAAATACAAACAAGTGGACAATGCATAGGATACCGTTACAATTGTGGCGTGGGTTAAATGTTGGATTACAACATGTGCGTCAAGGGGGACGACGTCATGGAAATAATGAGAGCGCTTGATCCAGATGGTATTGAGATGCGGAAAGCTCATCGCTTATGCCGACGCGTATAGGACCAGTTTATCATGACATATGGACGGTTAAGACAAATTTAAACCATAAGGATTTTGTATACATTGTGCTGTGAATTGGTATAGTAGAAAAATAATATGGTTAGAGGTTTTTTGGACTCAAATAACGACCCACGCCTTATTGCAAGAGTACTTTTAGACACCTATAATGAACATTATCAAGTCTCCCCCCCCCCCTCCAGCCTATACTACGTTGTGATGTTGGTACGGAAAACTGCATTGCTTTACTATTGCAGCAATACTTCAGACACGATTCTACAAATCCGATTGCTGGTACTTGAAGCGTTGTAGTTGGAAAAAGCACATCTAACCAACGCATTGAGAAGTGATGGTGTACATTACGACAAAATGGAATCCATTGGTGGATTAATTTTTTTCATTAATTTGTATCTGGACCCGATACAATGTGAGAACTTAAAATTTTGCTTCATGGACCTCATACAAACCGAGTTAGACCGGATTGCACATGAAATAAGGCAACAAACCAGTTCTTCTGTTATTTGTGGTAATCCTGACACACTGTTTTTGTACCAGGTCTGTATGAAACTCACGACTTCGGCAATGCAGTTAACTTGAGAGACGTATATATTTGCAAAGAACATGTATTCACGCCCAAAAAGACAATGTACGTAATTCGTAGAATTAGCACCCCTTCTGAAGCCAGATTTCTACAGATGCAATTGGACGCTGATTCAGCACTACAACTGTACCGAGTTGAACGATTTAATTTTGAGAATATATTTAATATAAATACGCTTTGGAACGACTAATACTTATTTTTTTTCGTGTTATTGATATATACTAGGTTACTACAGGTTAAGTTTCAAATGGTGTTTTAAAATAATAAAGACGATAGTCTACGTTTTCACTTCATTATATGGTTGTTTTAAGATATTGGTTTGTAAATATTGAGCAAATTACAATATATTTGTAAATTATCATTTAAGTTATAACCTCTCTAATTTGCACTATAAGGGATTGTAAAATTGACAACATTGTTGAGTGGTATACCTAAAGAACACTTGTATGCAAAATTTAAGCAGATTTGGAGTTGTAGGTATTATTATGAGTGAGAACATATACATTAAAAAGGCTTTTAAAAAGAAATACATGTATTGAAAGTCTAAAAAAATAACCGTGTTATCTCATTTTAACATGCTTTGCAAGTGTTGTTTGTTTAGATGCAAAAAATAACATTCTAGTAATGAATTATGCATGTTAAATGCATGACTATTGACACGATAGAAATGTTAAATATATTCTCAAAATTAAATTGACACATGGAAATGTTTCTCTACCCCACCCATTTGAACAGTTTCACTCATACATCATATCATTCTAAATTTGAAAAAAAAACACTAAAATTACATAAGTCAAAGGGCTTGTAAAATCTTTCTAGAAGTATATTGATTCATTCTGTGAAATATGGAAAGCTTTTACCCGCTAGTTTGTAATATATAAAGTATTGAAAATGTTATATGTCGTATGTTGCTAGTTAGATTTAGATTAAATAGGCAGTTAAATGAAGTATCTGTTAGTAATAAAATGATCCAACTAAATAAATAAGAACGAAATACATACAAAAAATACTGGTTAAAAGAGAAAAATAGAAGTAAAAGAAAGTTGCCTCCTATTGGGAGTCGAACCAAAACAACCCTCTGATTTCATGCAACTAAATGGTAAAATACTCTTTGGTAATGGATTATGAGTGCATTAGAAGATGACGTCGATATTTAACGTGCGGTATTTGCTTTATACAGTCTTATAGCGATGTAATTTATTTCACGAATATGAAAGTGGGGAAATCTTCGCGATAATCTAAACATCATTTTTATTGTAACAAAGGTTAATGTCCTTTTTAAAGATTTCCATTCAGCAGTCTGTAAATAATAATTTTTAAAGTTTTTACATCACAATATATGTATGTGCAATTTTGTGACTTTTTATGTAAAATATATTGTTTTTGGCATACGTATTATGAGATTAACTGCACTATATGAATCGACTTCTGTATCTCTTCTATCAAGCCCTGGTTACAATAAGGCTGCCCAACTAGGAATTGAACCTCGGTCTCCCGCGTGACTAGCAGAGACACTTTCCATTATGCCAAATGTCACAGGGGGAGAAAGATATGCAGCCATACCGGGATCGGAACCCCTTACAGGTCTAGTTCTGTTCCGATTGCACATCATCTACTGAATAGATTCGTGCCGTGACATATAAGTTATACGTGTAATTTCAAGTTTGTGTAATTAGATTCAAACGTCTTATTCATTCGCAACAAATAGCAACCATACTTTATGGGATGTATTATGGTATTTAAAAGGAATATATATGATTGTTATTTCAAAAATAATAATTGATCTTTGTAATAAATGCTGACTTATTTTCTCGTTTTTTTAAGGTTTTGTCTTGTGACTTTTCACTTATAATTTATCACTTTTTACTTATGACCTTTATCTTTTGACTTTTAACTTTTGCCATTTGCTGTTACTCTTTGCCTTGGTATAAACATTAGTTTTTGCAAAAGAAGCAAATTTGTGATACAATCGGATCACATCAGCCGAGAGTGGTGTTGAAGTCATATAATGTTTACAAGTACATTTAGCCACTAACCTCATTTTTGCATTAGAATTATTGCATTCATATGTTTTTATCATAGTTGATCTTTTTTACGTGAAGAATCAACATCAATTGTTTATGTGAAATCATATGAATAGAAGTTTTAACTCGGGACATTCATTTATTTGTGCCGTCTGCAGCATTAAGTATTAAAGTAAATAAACTATTCTTGATAAATAACGAATTTTTTATTCAGATTAAACAGTTCTGAGCTATTTTCTAGATGTGTATATACCTTTTCGTTTTTAGTAAAAATGATTTTCATGATACTACACTTCTATAAGGAATTTCAGAAAATGAAAAATAAATTTATGACTGGCGGCTGAATACGTAATTTATGCAAAACCGGCGACGCCTCTTATAATTATGGTTCCCGTTTCCTAATGCTACGTAAGATACAGCTAAGATCGGAACCAACGTCAAAAATCAGGCATTTCCACATATGGTTGCTATTTGTCACTAACATAATACGGAATTTCTTATCCGTTGGGAGAAAATGAATAGGTATAAAATAAAATTTAGAAAACGGTTTTGACACAAATATGACTTTAAAACTCTTGATGATTTCTATTTCAAACTTGTACTTATTTACATTATCATATTAAATCTGGTCCTGAATGATAAAAATACATTTTCCTCATTTGTTGACAATTTAATATTGTGTTTTTATAACTTTGTTATAACCAAAATAAACTTGCATTTTACTACCGGAATAAACAGTATTTAAATGTTACAGAGAATTTATCTATCTATGTAGAGATAGTGTTCCATTAAAATTATAAGTAAGAGGTTGAAATGAGCAAAGTAGAAATAGAATAGCAATCACTATAGAAGTAAACCAGTGTGGAACCCTCAACAGACTACCTATATATACCTCTCCCGAGAGACCACACTACCAAAGGTTTTTACCTCACGGTCTAGACCGTGACAGGTTGTCAGAGCTATCAATTTATTTTTGAATAAATGCGTTTAAACAGATAACAACAAACATTTTTAATTCTACAACCGTGCTTTATTTTGCTTAACACAATTGTTGTCTTATAAGAAAACAAATGTATTAAACTGCATATGAGCTTCATTATATTTAATTAAAAAAACAAACAAACAAAAAAAAAACAGAAATAAGAAATACAGAGGTAAGCATTTTTTCGAGCACATATGCCTTACATAAAAGCTAACACTAAGGAACAGCTAAAAATAAACACTGCCATCAACAAAAACTTCAAGTATTTACGTCACAGAAGACATATATACATGCAATAGTTCTACAAAACAACACATTGTTGATACGTTACTGATGAAAAAGTAAGAAAATCATGAGTGTTCTAACACATAAGATAAATTAGGTTAATTAGCAATGCTAGGGTATCTGTATTATTATTGAAGTCAAGATTTTTAAAGTCATTGTCAGAGCGTTATTTCTTCATTTGTAAATGTTCAAAAGAAAGAAAAAACAAACATAGTCTCTAGCCAAAGATATCCTATTTAACTTTAAGAAATTGTATACATTGTATAATGTATATATTAAATAACGTCCACAAGTTGTGTTTTTCCGAAGAATGACCGGTTTTATATGTAATGGAAATCTTATAGTCTTTAGTAATGAGCATACCCCCAACCGCATGTCGAAAAAGGGAATGTTTAACTTAGGAGAACGATTAAAAATTTTGTTTACAACACAATGCACTCTGTCTCGCCGAGATATATATTTGCTAGTTAATTCAAGTTGATGCCTTCAACACTTTTTGAGATAATTATGAGCTTAACAAAATCTAAGTATGAAAAAAAAAAAACAACAAACGGGACTTTCTGAAATTTATGATAGCTATGATAGCGAGAAGTATGTTTCTTTCTGCCTCGCCAAGCTATATGAACATGCAAAGTTTGATTTCGATACCTTTCATATAAGTTTTAAAATTAACAATGGGCAAAGACTGAAAATTATGAAAGCCAGAATTATGAATTCATGATTTTTCACACTTTTCTCTGTCTCACCATGACCTGTCTATCGATACAAGTTTTATACCATATTGGAGATATGGACAGTATAAAATAAACGTGGTGGGACTTGACATTGCGTGTTTCCATAAAGCGTTCACAATAATGGTGGGGTTAAAACTTGAAAATTATCGAACGTCTAAAACAAGTGTGAAAAGGTTAACACTGGAATTCCGAAAATGTCTGAATATTTCCACAGACAATAACGAAGAAAACCAAATCACCAGTGTTTGGACATTTTGCATTTGCTAACCTGTACTACTTTCCACTCGGAACGAACGTTGTTTTGCAATGAGACCTCTAAGTCTTCTAAACTGGCTCCGAAAACTTGACAAATATGATGTAGTTGAAAACATTCGACAGCACGTCCTTAATTCCTACAGGTAGCTATACTAGACTTTAAATTGAAAACATTAAAAGTATGTGTTATCTCAATTGGAATGAAATACATATGTATACAAAATGAAATACAAAAAATCCCTTAATACATAACTGTATAAAAAAAAGTTTATATATATACAAATAACATGTACTTTGTACTTGGTAGGTGTCCTAAGTTATTGATACTGAACAAGTGATTAGTTTCAATATTATATCATAACTGGTTTATGCGACCATATTTCATAAACCTTCTGACAAAACATTTTAGCTTTAAAAATGGGCATAAGTATGTTAAATTGTGAGCCAGACATACGAAACTTGGTCATTGACCTTAGATGTCAACATTTAATATGTGTTTTGAGTTTCAAAGGAATCTCTTAAATAGTTTTTGAGAAACCCTTTTTCATTAAAATTCAAAACCACAAATTCGAAGTCGAAAAAGAGGCATAATTTGATAACAATGCAATTCAAAGATTTCTAACTTAGAGCGTGTTCTAAACAAGTGTGTGAAGTTTCAAAGCTGTATGATTTATTGTTTTTGAAATACCATGTTCCATGAAACTTCTTAACAACAAATTTCAAAATGTCAAAATAAGGCCTATAATTTGGTCTTCATGCAATATAAGATGACGAAGAATGAACTACGGGTGAAAACCGATTGAAACTGCAGCAAACAACAATGCGAGACTGATTTGGATTTAAAACTGGAACCCATATAAAAAATAAAGCGTTTGATTCACACGCTGTATGTCAATTTGAGATTATTAATCCCTGTTCCGGAAATCAAAATAAAAAATGGATAACCAATGAAATGCAATGCAAGCAAAGTATTTTCTTTTATTAATAAATTAAAAAGGCTTATATAAGAATAACATTCTGTTCTTGCATATGAGCCCACATATTTTGTTTTTTAAATAAGTCTCCAGGAAACTTAGGTAAATGAACTTACCTCGTCTGAATTGTTGTCATATTCTGCCATATTTTCCTTGGAAATTATGAGACAAGCACGTGGGACAATAACAAAATCCATAAGTCAAAAATCAAAAGTTATAAATCAAAAGTCATAAGAAAATAGTTAAATAAATCTATAAGTCAAAACTCATAAGTGACCCTCCAAGGCTTCCATATATTCCAAATAAAAAAAGAAAAGTTTTTGTTATTTATTCTTGACATACCTGGTTATGTGCCACTGGAGCTTTTTCTTGTGCATTTTAGGTGTTGGGCGGTGTTGTTGTGCATTTTTAACAAACTTGTCGGCATTAATAAGACCAAAGCCAAACACACTGTGAACTATAGATATAAATAAAATTATTAACATTACAAGACAACAAAAGACAGATGACTTTCGCTTATTTTTCTTGCAATGTTCCAACGTTAATTTTACCTAAAAAAAATTATCTAAATATTCTAGTCAACAAATGTCATATTTCTATGCTTTATGCTTTTCTTTGATACCCTGAACAATATCGAATCAATATGCAATTTCAGATTAGACAAATAAAATGTAAAGTTTGAAGAAATTTATTCATCAATAAATAAAATACAGAATATAGTATGTAAACAGGAGGACTCATTAATTTGAATCCAGTAAAAAGGCATTTGGTTTTTGGACTACATGTTTGTCTTCTTACGAGTACATCCGTCCAAGGCAACACATATACACTTTGAAAGTCACAGAAAACCTTATCACTGTATTATGACCAAGTTATTGTTATAAAATCTGATGCACTGGAGTTTGTTTTTATAGTGCCTGTAGTATAATACAAACTGGCACTAAAAGCATAATCAATTCAACTGTTAAACATGTATATTGATGTGAAAGTAAGCATAAAGAAAATCTTACAGTATCTTCCAGCTGCATTCTTTGTAAATGCGATCCTCTCTTGTAGCTGTCTGCGTTCAGAAGACTAAACAAGAAGATGCTGGATGTCCCTTAATGACAGGTCTTTACTGGAGAAACAAAATCTCATATCTTATATCTTAACAAATTGCAAAAGTAATCTTTTCGTGTAAATAATTTGTAGGAATCAATATATTCCAAAAAAAAATATATGGTTTGGACATTGTTGCGGAAGACATTAAAGATTTATCTATTAGTAAAAAAGAATTCCACACTGATGACATTGACGATTCATACTCCAAAATGGATATCTTGACATGTAGTACATTAATGGTTTTTTTTGTTGTTTTTTTTTATCACTATTATATCTTTATTATTATATTTCTATTATATTATACATCTTTTTTATTTATATTTTTTATTAATATCTGATAAGGTAACCAGACAAGTTTTATTTGTCAACATGTCATCATGCATGTTATTTTGACATTGTGATACCGTTATATCTTTTGATTATTCTAAGAGTTGGATTTTTACTCCTGAAAATCCTACTTAGCTTGGAGGCCCAGTCCTATAATACCCGCTATTTGGGCTGTGGCAGCAGAGATACCGTTAAATCCAGTTATACATCTGTCTTCCAAAGTTGTTGTAACCTAAAATATTCACAATCAAACACGTTTTTATTTTGTCTGAGAAACTACGACTGCATTAAACCTTCATCAATGATATTATTGAATTTTTTAAAATCAATGAACTGAAACATATTAACATATTATCTGTCTTAATGCGAAATGAACTCTGACATTTTTAGGTACATACATATTTTGCAGAACATTAAGATATTATTACCATTGAGGAAGATGTGAGGTTGTTTCCATCACCAAGTCCAGACGTCAATACACTGGCGTCTGTATAAACGTATTCCATAATTATTCCATTTCTACCGACACTGGACACTGTGATTGTGTGAATATGGCATAACATGGATAGTACCTAGACCGTGACGACCCTTAAAATGAACAGCATTTACTTAACATGTATTTTTAAATAATGCTGATTTCCAATAAGAAATGTTCTGAATAGAAAAGATAACACAGTTGAGTTTCATATATACATTAAAAGGTATAATGGAAGTTTTTTCTTATTTTTTAAAGATTGCAGAATCTTAAGAACTGATAAAAAGTATGTTTTAAAATTGGGAATATTGGTCTCGTTTGTGCTGGGGGTAGACTTTTTGACCTTAAATAAGTAAATCATTTAATTTCGGCTTACTCAAAAACGAGATCGGCGTCTCCGTTTTTTTTTTTTGTTTTTTTTTTTTTTTCCTTTTAATTAACTGTTTCTTTTATCATATTGTACGATCAGGAATGCTTGAATAGATTCTGTGAAACTGTAATACAACAATAATGGCGAACATTTTGGTAGCATAAGTACCATATCAACCCAGGGAAAGTCATGTCTCTACAATAGGTCGGCTGTAACTTATAAATGTGGTTATAGAAAAGAATTTCGACGAAGACAGTCTTGTTGTAAAAAGGTAGCTGAAGAAAAGTTACGAGTAAAAGCACAATATCTAGAATACATGGCCCCCGTGATATTGTTTTCAAAGACATTATTATAAAAGAATTTGCTATAAACTCACGTGGAATGCCCCATGACTTATCACATCTTTTGTTGCTACATCAAGTTTGTCAAATAGTGTATCAGGTGCCCAGGCATTGGCAAATATGTCAATAGTGTTAGGTTTGTAGTTAAGTGCCCTTGAAATAATGTCAGAATCTGACCAGTGTTTCGGTTCTAGTTCAAATAATGAAGACCCGCTTAGGATCACATTGAAGATCTTCAGAGCTGACAAAGAGTATAAGCAATACAATACAATACGATATAACACAATACAATACAAAACAATACAATAGGACAAAACATACGAGCTGAAACTGTTGTAAGTGAGGATAACTACAATGTATAACATGGCCATACTTACTGTGTTAATCAATTTGGGTACGTTCACGTGTTTGACTTTTCAGTAGAACAAAACCAACAACCTATTTAAACGCTAATATTCGAAGGTGAACCAATGGACCGATAGATAAAGATGTAACACCAATATGAAGTATATACCTGAAGTCAACATTCAACATTGACCGGCCAAATTTAGATTAGAAAGTAAATCGTGAAGTAAAAGAACTAGGTATATGACTCAGCATATAGTTTTCTTTAAATTTTAAACAGTAAACAGACAGGAAAATGGCTATACAATACATCTATTTGGATAGGATGAAGACGGTTTTTACCTATAATGGTAGCGTTGTGTGCTATTCCGGCGCTGCATCTGTTATTACCTTTAATAGCACCAATAATACTAGCCATCTTGTTACCGTGACTAAACTCAAACAAAAGCAACATTAAAACAGCATTAACAATAACAAATTATATCAATGGAATTTAAAAAATGAAATACTATCAACGGAATTGTACAAAAATGAAATACTATCAACGGAATTGTATAGAAATGAAATACTGTACGTCAATGGCTTTGTATAAAAAATGGAGTACTAACAATGGAATTGTACAAAAACAATGAAATTACATCTCAGTGGAATTTTATACGATGAAATAACAACAATGAAATTGTATCAAACTAACATAGAATCGTTTTAAAATTGAAAGAACAACAATGGAATTGTTTAAGAATATTGAAATATCATGAATAGAGCTGTTTAAAACTAAATCATCATAAATAAAATCGTATGACATACAAGTTATCTTTATATTATAAATATATGAAAAAACATTTATCTATTTAGATATATGAAGGATGGATCTAAAAGCTAAAGGATTCTTATTCTGATATAAAATGCAATGGAAAAAGGATAAAATAACAGAATCTCTATTGTTTATTGTTTTACAGTTAATACATACGACAACCTTCAGCTTAGAATATTATTTTGTAATTTTCGTAATACGGTATCAAATCAGATTTAAGCTGATTTCACGCTGCCTTAATGAAATCGCAACAACACAATTATAATGCTTTGATGAAAAGTTATTACAATAAGATATACATACTCAGTTAAAAAAGCTGCCTTTTCAGGAATGTTGTAAAAAAATTCAGGTGTAACATTATTGTTGTTGTCTACAAAATTGAAACTAAGCGTTTCGTTCTGAAAAAGAAAACGTGGGCAAACTATAAACACACAAAAGTGGAAGAGAAAACAACAAACAGCGCAAAAGCATCACGAGTGAAAATAAAAAAATATATTTGAAAGTGACACGTAAATAATTGAACACAGATATTTGAAGATACATGTAAAAGCTAAAAACAAAGACAACTATCTAAAACATAATTTAAGGTATATGAAAAATTGAAAATAAAAACGACAACTATCTAAAAAGCCTACAGCAAAGTGAACTGACTGAAATGATTTTCCTATACATAGAGTATGGAAAAAAACTATTTACAAACAGTTTTCAAAGAGATGAATTATGATAGATTTTTATCTTATATTAAGCACATAATATATTAGGAATGACCCTCAAATTGACAGTCCGGGGAGGTAAAGATTGCTATGTGACAGAGCATTCATATATCTTAAGTAATAAAATATTGAGAGAGCGAAAATAATTTGTACATTATGATAAGCAAGCAAAAGAAAATTGTTAATGGAATAATAGGTATGAAGATATTACAGTTTTAAAAAAGGTAAAGTCACGAATAAACAAAATCTGGAACTTTGTACAAAAGTGACAGTTTGCTACCAAATTGTCCTTCAAATCAGAAAGATGAGTGTTAATTCCGACGTCTGTTATTGCAATCGTGACCCCACTTCCGTTATATCCACGTGACCACACCTTCTCCACGCCCATTCCATAGTAATGTTCACAAACAAGATTAGTCTACAATGATACAAATAAAGGTACTTTAAAAGTAAACTTAATAAAAAAAAAATATTTTTCTTGTGAAATGAACAACAGCTGTCTCGCACGTGACGAATGCCCCCCTGCCCCCCCCCCCCCCGAAAAGGTTTCTTAAGCAAGGTATTATCAAAAGAAAAGAGAAGGAAGTAACGTATTTCTTAATATTGTTCTTGTGAAATGAAGTGCTATTTATAGTTCACTTAACACCTTGGGACAAAGGTCTTGGATGCGACACATCATCTTGATGTGGTAGACATTTATTTCAAATTATTCAAAATCCTTCTATGCATGACAATGTTACAGTTTGGGAACTACATCAGTGACCATGACTTTGAATGTAGGAACATGGGTCTTACAAACAACCCGTTATCTTGATGTGGTAGACATTTGAGCCAAGTTATTTTAAAACTCTTCAATGCCTCACAAAGTTATAGTCCGGACACGAATGTTTGTACCTATAATCTATAACTGTGATAGTGTGAACCTTAAATATATAAATGTGACCTTGCCCTTTGAAGAAGGGACATGGTTCTTGGACGCGACAAAACGTTGTCATGTGATAGACGTTTGTGGTTTGTGCGAAGTTATTTCAAAATACATCTATGCATGACAAAGTTACAGTCTCGACATGATTGTTGCGTAAGTGGGGATGCTCAAAAGGGCAGACGGACATAGGCCTTAGCCGCGACACATCGTCTTGATGAAGTAGATATTTGTGTCAAGGTATTTTAAAATCCTTCCATGCATGACAAAGTTACCGTTCGGACAAGAATATGAATCTTCAAACTATTATCGAGAGAATAAGTACCTTCAAAAAAATGTGTGACCTTGACCTTCGAGGTAGTAACATGCGTTTTGGATGCAACATGTCGTCTTGATATGGAAGACATTTATGCGTAGTTATTAATCAAATCCTTCGATTCATGAAAAAGATAAAGCCCTGAAACGAATGTGTGTACCTATAAACACTAATTGTGATATTGTCTTGAAGTGGTAGGCATCGAAGGATTTTATGCCAATTTATTTTAAATGCATGACAAAGTTACATCCCAAACACGATTTTGTATACCAATAAACTCAAATTTTGATAATTTGAAACTTCAAAATGTTAATGTGACCTTCACTTTTGCGGTAGGGACTTAATTCTTGGACGCAACACATCGTCTTGATGTGGTTGACATTTATGGCTAGCTATTGATACATGACAAAGTTACAGTCCGGACACGAATGAAGTTGGGACGCACAGACAGACATACGGTGCGATTTAATATGCCGCCCTTCGGGGGCATAAAAAATAGTATCTATTCGACGTAAGTTCATTGTTCAAAAGCAAAAATGAAACTAATGCGAACATTTCATTATTTATAAACATTTGTCTTATGAGAAGTATAATAAATGCATAATGTTTTGTTTCACATAACCATTTAATGTGTGCAATATTTTTTTACCACGCACCATTTTGGATTTTTATGAGGCAACTTTTGGATATTTCTTCTTTCTTTTCTTCTTTTTTTATCTAAAGAACTATTTTAAAAAAATATCATGTTTTTAAAACGCTTGAAATGGTTCGGTCAACGACATAATTTTTAATGCTTGAAACGACGTTCACTAAAATCTTACATAGATCTCTGGATGCCTCTCGCTGGTGAGAAATCCTGTGTTTGTAGCTACGGGTTTTAAAGTATCAGCATACACTCTAACAGGCATCAACTTCAAGATCTGATAAATAATGATAAATGTTAACAAGAGTAGCATTGATGCACAGCATTACAGGCGACGCCAAAATATATTTGATCAATATTTGCACCTAAATACTTAACAGAAGATGTGCACTTTATATCACTACCTTTACACGTGACCTGGAGGCAAGGATCCTGTTTAAGTTGAAACTTGAACCCAAAAGAATAGGCTATGTCTTTCCAAGATGCAAAGACAATTTAGTCAATTAAACAATCACTAAAATCATCATGCCAAAAGAGAAAATTTCTTCAGATTTATTTTACCAGATAAAAGGATACCTGAATCATCAGAATATAAGAAAAGCTTATTGCATAGGGTAGAAGACCTGTCATTGACATATATTAGACATAAAAGAGGACCTAAAATGAACCCCTTGGAGACACCTTAGATACTCGTAGTAGTAGTAGATTGAGTACCAGCCATATTCACCAGTGCTGTCTATGAGAGATAAGACTTGAACCATGTAGAAATGTAATTCTCTGTGGCAAATGTTTGAAGTTTCATGTGCAGTATAATGTGATCAACTGTATCAAATGCCTTTTGTAGATCTAAAAGTTTTAATGCATACAATACTGCCTTTGTCCATTTCAAATTTTATACACTCTGTTATATTAATCAAACATGTGTCAGTTGAAAAACCAACTTCTAAATTTACCCTGAATGAAACTGCCTGACCATGACTGGACTCCGACTGAAAATGCCGGACCATGACTCGAACCCATAACTGTCCAGAAGACCAACTGAGCTATCCGGCCGGCTACACAGTATCTCTTTAATAATGAGCAGTTCTTAACCATAACATATTTCCCCACTACATTAATAATTGTACTAGAATGTCTGATGGTTATAGAGCAAAGTGAGTTAAACTTATATGCAGTCACAGGATGAGAAAACTTGACAGCAGCTTGACCAGAACTCGAACCTATGACCCACAGAATAATGTACCGCGGCTGCAGCAATTGAGCTATCTGGCCGCTTACATATTTTCTAACCCAAATGGTGAACAATTTTAAACCGTGACAGATACTTTTAGATATTTTATTAACAGGTAGATTAATTCTTAATTAATACAAATTAGAAAAAGAAAAACTTACATACTCATTGTCTTAATTTAGATAACAATTTATATATTGTATAATTATTTTTACCAAAATGGGCTTAGACAGTTTTTGGTTGTGCCATTATCTATATCATCAATTTAAAAGTGAACATAACTGTACTAATGCATGTACACTATCTAATTCTTTGTACAGATAAAAAGAACTAACCTTTTTCTAGATAAGAAATTTTATGGAGGCTGATTTGTGCCATGTTGTATTTTGCATCAGGGGGGCACCGGGCGAAAACTTGAAAATACAACAAACAAACCACTTTCTGGTATATTTATGTTTTCATCTGGTGCCCTGTTACTTTTTGTACTTTGTCAATTGTGGAACAAATCACCCACTATAAAATTTAGTGTACAAGTTTATTCAAGTGCAAGAAACAATTTCTATGAAAAGTCTGTAGTAGAGTTGGCTCTGCCCGAGTACTAGAGTTTGATACCGGTGTCCCCCTATTACAAAACGATAAGACAGGAGCTGTCCTTTTCAAACTATGCACATGTTAGAAAAAATTAAATAACAATTCAGAATATGATATTTTTGAGACTTTATAAATTATATTAATGCAAGTCTCATCGCTTTAAAATAAAGTCATAACTGTAACTCTTTAAATGCAGAAATATTATAAGTCTAATCATATCCATATACTAAAATATACATGTATGCACATCACAATAATTATTTCCAGTTTCTGTTAAATAAATATGATATCCTATTAACATTCGTACTTGGATGGAATTCAAAATCTAGTAGAAAGAAACCTATAATGTATAGTATAAAAGTAAAAAAAAATCTCAAATAGTCTATATCATATATTTAAGATTGAGATGTGTCTCTTTACTATGTAACAAATAACTGCATATATATCAAGTGTTTAAAATTGAAGACTTCAGGATGTTATCCTTTTTCTGTTGCTATATATGGACATAAGTACCTATATGCATAGCTTTAATTTTCTGCCTTTCATTTTTACCAAACGTTCTTCTATTAACACTTTTGATACAAACAAATAGAAAATAATAAGTAGTTTCACATATTGATGAGAAGATTCCTGTAGCAGAATACCTGTAGGTATGTACTAACTGAACAAACTAGAAAAAAATCCAGTCTTAGGTATATAAAGCCAGTCAAAAAAAATATTCTATCAATATTCACTCTTCAGTGTCTCTGTTCTTTCAAGATGAATGTACAATAGGTAAATTTTCTCATTATTCAATTTAACAAAAGGCAAAAATATAATAAGAAAGTTTCATAGCCTGTAAAGCACACTGCCAATAACCATAATGTTTATAAATAGACAACGAAAATGTAATACCTAAGATTTACAGAAAAGAACAAACAATTTAGTAAGCATGAGTTACTTCCCCGTAAATAGGAGAAAACCTGAAACCCTAAAGAACATCTTAAACAAGCAAAATTATAAAATTTTGTAGGCTCAGTTTTATTTAGCCATGGAAAGTAATGGTAAAACGAATTCATAAAAAGTTAAAAGGACATGTGGCAGCGGTAAAAATTACATTGCAGAAAATCGGATAGCTTTCAACATTCGGATACTTGTACACTTTTTAAAAACAATCATTCTGTGCACTAGATAAATGTAATATGGATAAAATCAATATGATTATCGTTTTCAACAGTTCCATTGCTAATCCTTATACTCATTTGCAGGTTAATGTTCTTCTTGTAGGAAAATTCTAAAAATATATAAAGCTTACAAATATCTCGGGCCTCACAGACACCTTAAACTGCTGATGAAAAAGATTTGGCAAAACAGTTGTAGAACGAAACAATAAACAGTGCATAATTAACAAAAATGGTTAAACAGTGAAAACTTTAAAATAAAAAAAAACTTAATCTGAGTAAAATTACAAAAAAAATGAAAAAGAATGAAAGTGACATCAATGTATAAACCACAAATGTATACTGAACCCGGCTTTTAGTATTCGGGACAAGCTTTTAACTGAACCTGCATTTTCATGAAAAAATATGCACATGCTTTTTACACAAAGTTATCAAATACAAATATAACAATGTATTTGTTTACTTGATTTTTACGAATCATAATAAACTAATTAACACAACATGACTGCTAAAAAAACGTACAGCTCCTACCATGGTCCAAAAATGATTCCATACAAGACGATGCCGCTCACCGGCGTCGCCAATAAAATAAAACAAATTCCATCTCAATTTTCTACACAAATAAAATAATTTGTTTCTTATAGCCATAAATCGGGCGAAATTATCGCAATTTCCATTTCACCACAATAATGCATTTTAATATTTTCCCTTATATAAGCGTTTTTCGACGACTTTTTGCCCCCCCCCCCCTTTTTGAGGCCTCAAACAGTGAAAAAATGCCATATTTAGGCCCCAAACACTGTTTTTCGTTTGAGAAATGTTGTTAAAAAAGTGACCACTTTTTCGGCGCCGTCCCCCATCCAAATATTACATCAGGGGGTTGCCAGAAGGGGGATGTGTTTGGGGGTTTGAAGGTGGTGGATTCCCCCACATCGCCAAGAAAATTTTGGCCTTGTGACAGGCTAAAAATGGCCTCAGGTCGATCTTAGGGTAACTAGTAACCGACGCTGAAAAGCCTTTTACTCTATCTCAATTCATTGAGAAGTTGCAGCACTTTGAAATCAGTCTTGATGGAAAAAAAACAATGCAAAATAGTGATTGATTTTTGGCAATTTTGAGATGTCCCCCCGTTGCCATGGTAACAGGAAATTTACCATTGAGCATGCTGTTACAGAGGCTATGGTGTAGTCAACATTTGTGTCTAGTTTCATTAGTATTGAAGCATTTTTTCATAGTTTCATAGCAGTTTGAACTCGTTACAGGAGGCTTTTCAATGAAAACGGCCATTTTTCGCAATATGCTCATGGGGTAAAAGGTTAATTAACTTACTTGAACCGAACCTGATATGCCTTTGTCTCAATTGACGACCAGGCTTTTGGTAGCTAAATCTCTGTACTTTTATATCACCGATAGGTATTTCCTTTCTTAGAAAGGGCTAACATAATTTTCATAGCAATTAAATAATGATTTAGAGTGTTTTGGATGCTTATCACATATAGAAATTGGCGTGTGATTTAAATTTTTCAGTTATAAAAGTAGCAAAATGTAAACAAAGTTATATTTTGACTTTTATGCAAAGTACTCAATAACTATAAGTGCACTATTTTCCGAAAAACAATAGAAGCAAAAGATGGTTCAGGTTATTGTCAAATGAGTAACCATTTGGAATTTATCACAGATCGCCAAAAATAAAAGGTTCCGAGAAATAAAAAAAACTACTTTTATGAGGTATTATGGGTCTTTAAAATGGATTGTTGGGCAAATCTATGACACACATTTAACGTGTTTACACAAAAATGACTCATCAAAATGTTATCATAGATGATAACAAACTGATAGTAGATAGTCTTTTCTAAACTAAAATAACAACACAACACCATATGCAAGGCCAGACGAACGTTTATTACGAGATGGCAGCCGAAAGTAGTTTGTTACAACATGAATTATTGTTTTGTATCAAGGATTTTCATTCAAGCTTTAAAATATTCTTTAAAACATTTCAGAATTACAAATGCTTATATTTTATTTCATTCATGCAAACAGATTTAGGCAAAAATATTTCCAATAAACCTAACAAATCTGCACATACAAACATAACAAATCTTAGTCATTGCAAAATTTCTTATTAAAAGAAAATGCGATTATTCTAGTACATTATACAACGATTAAAAACACTTAAAATGACAACATTTGCCTAAAAAATTGCCTTCATTATCTTACAACATACGTCTTTGCCGAAATCGGATAATGCTACATTAAATTGGCTCGCAGTGCGACCCGACTCGCCCAGGAAAAACCATCGTGTGGAAACCTGTGTCCATTTGTCAAGTGTCGGTTCGCTAATGTTGGACCTCATCTTGCGACGACGTATGTTTTCATTACAAAATCAAATATATGAATTACTTAAAAATGTTTACATTAAAGACTTTTTTTTTTAAATTTATACGACGTGTCTCTGTGAAATCGTCTGGTAGAATGACCTTCTTTACACATTACAATATACATATTGAGTTAAGTCACGATTCATTAAACACGACTGACCAGTATTCACCCTTTTGAATGCGTAACGCGATAGACAATAATTTCACGCTATTACTATCGAAACGCGTGAAATATTAATTATCTACGGTATCAACATGTATAATAAAATGTCAAGGTTTCAAAAGTGACTATGTAACAGCGTCAAAGCTTAAACCTCAAACTTTTAGGTAAATGAAGTACAATCATTTTATAAACCTTTTATATTTTCATATAATATTGGACAAACCAGATACCTTCTTATCATAACGCCTTTTAATTTTTGAAAGTGTCTGTCGTAAAGCGGCGTTTCGTCTAGAGCCGGTGTATCTCAGTATGTACGTTGAAGGTGTAAGCTACAAATAAGACCAATTTTTTTATACATGTACATTGCTTATGGTCTTATTTGAGAGGAGTTTATGAGTGAAAGAATATAGAAATATCAGTACATGAATAGTACTTTATTGAAAGCAATATTAGCACTGTAAGCACATCGCTCTTACTTTACTCTCAAAATTTATTTGTACAATAACATTATATGGTTATTATATCATTCATAAAATGTACATGTCTGTTATGTTCAATTGTGTCAGTACAGTGTCTTTATATAAATAAACCAGAAATTCCTGAAAATGAAAAGTAAAAAAGAATGATTTACACGATACGATCATGACCTTGTTGGAAAACATTTTAAATTGACAAAATAAATAGACAAACAAAATACATCTTAAGAAAGTTAGTAAAGTTAAAAAGAAAAAATTGCTACACTTCCGGGTTTCATTTGAAACCCAGATACATTGCACTTCGTAACCTTTCTCGAGCTTTAAACATCTTGTAATAAAAGTCACAAAGTAGCAGAATATACAAACGATGAGTGTCACAAAAAAATACATTTTCAGAGAACAATTTTATATCTATGTTATAATTATAAGTGACCTGATTGTGCTGCGTCACGTTCAATGAAAATAAATGGCTAAACAAGTCGTTATTATCTCCATTATTTTTCACTTTAAGCACAAGTTTCACTTCGGACTTCAAACTGATATTTCCAACACTTACATGCGCGAATATAAGTGTTATTAAGGAATAAATCACGGTCAAGTTCAATACCTCCATTTTTATTTTTCCTATAATGACTGTGTTAAAAATATATCTCACGTAAATTTTGGAAAACCCACCCGCATGTATGTATTATCAGATAAGCGATAACATCATCGTCAAAGTAGGTTTCACATTGAGCAATGATCTTCCTCTACAGCTTAAATTGGTGGGTGCAATTGACATTAAATGAAAAAGTTTTTATTTCAAAACTGAACATAAAATATTAAGTGAACATGGAACATTAAATGCCACAACATACGGTAGAATTTATGAGTACAAAACAAATTTAAACTTAGATGTATAAGTAAATCTTAATGTGTGTAGGCTACTATTTCTTGAATTCGTAAACCTCACAACTAGACTAACAGGATAGGCATGTTTTCTTGTTATTCTTGTTGAACAGAGCTCCAATGATGACAAGTGAAAATTTACCAAAATATGCCGATCATGTGTCTTATTAATAAAATTCCAGAAAATATTGCTTAAATGAAAACAAAGTAGTAAAATGAAGTGAACAGGGTGTTTTGGAGCCCCCAAGATTTAGGATGTTCGTATCCCGAATTACTAAAGAAAAGGATAATAGACTAAGACATTTAAAAAGAAATGGAGAGATTCCCATGCGATGATCATAAATGAAGGGGGGAAAATCTTCACGGTAACACAAAATACAGAATGGTCTAAAGGGTGCTCAGTTATTCCATGTTTTCTAAAAGAATATAGTTATTTTCTTAAGCTTCCTCTATGATCAACTCGGCCCAACCATTTGTCTACCTTTTAAACAATCATCTTAACTAGCCAATACCAACAGTTATAACATTAACATTCTGCAAGAAATTTCTTTGGAGGGAAATGTATGGAGGAAAACCTTTATAGAATTTCAGTCTGTGTGCAAGGGTAGCACTGCTTTAAATATTGTACGTCGTATCTTTAATTAGTGTTGTACAATTATATCCTTCCGCCTGTGGCCTTAAGTGAACATGGCACATTATGTAAACATGGAACGTAAATGAATATGGAACACTTAGTGAACATGAAAGACTTATTGAACAGAGAACAGTAAAACAACATGAAACCCTAAGTGAATATGAATTTGTTAAATGAACACGAAACACTAAGTGAACATAAAATATACATGGGCATGAAACACTTAAAAGACATGAAACATAGAACATAAGATAACATAGAACAACAAATGAGCTTCTACTTTTTTAGTACGTAGCGTTCACTTTACCATGGCTAACTTGGCAAGACGTTAATTCTTGCAATAACGTGCACTAATGCGGTTTGTTACACAATATCAAATTTGTTTTTATAAAAATGTATATCAACCGTTTCGTGATCATTCTATATAATTCAGATCTCAGTTTCAAAAGGTTTATTTCTTAATAATGTTGCTTCCGCATATTTTAGAACAAATCGCCTGTCTAATAAAAAGAGCATGACAAGCGGAGTTGTCCCGAACAAGGGCCTTGGGTTTTTTTTATATTTCTGTAAAGAAGAATCTCCAAACTGATACAAAAACGAAGTTGCAATGGAATCAGACAAATTGTGTTTAATCGGTTGGCCCGAGAAAAAATGGTGTTTTTTACTTTATATACAGAAAAAAAAAACATATCGCCGGTCCAAAAAACGACCATGCCACGCGCAGTTCTCTAGAAAAAATTCTTATTTATGTATATAAAGTTTATATATTTTCGTAACAAACAAATTTTCTCCATCCAACTGTTAAAGAACCATCTGTCTGACTTCATTGCAGTTCGTTAAATTATCAATTTTCAGGGTTTTCTTTACAGAAACATAAAACGGCGTTTTGTACTTTCTGCTGTAAATATAGTGTATACATGTTCGAGCCAACCATTAAAACACCAATTATTGTATTCTATTGCGACTTCGTTTTTGTATCAATTTACAGATATATAAGGAGCTTTTAGGATGGCCAATCAAATGCGTCCGGCGTCCGGCATATGTCCACATTTTATTCAAACGACATCTTCTACAGTACCAATATTGGCCAATATTAATGAAACTTGGCAGGAATACTCTTTGTATGAATCTCTATCAAGATTGTTCAAAGAATGCAATTCCATGCTAAACTCTGGTTGCTATGGCAACTAAAAGAAAAAAACTTAAAAGTTCTTAAACTTCAAAATGGAAAGGGCTAGAGCTTAGATATTTCTTACAAGGCATTAGCTTGTTAGTTCCTACAAAGTATATTCAAATTGTGGTCTAAAGTTGAAAATTGGTCTCTGTTTTGGGAGTTAAAGGTTTTATTTATTGCAAGGTTATATAGACTTTCTTTGTAGGGATAAATTGAGATAGTGTATCTTGTATTTTTCATCTCAACAGACATTGTTATAAAGATTTTTCTGTTAAAGCATATAAGGATGAAAAGTTTGTTAATGTGAATGTTAATTCAAATCAGAGTCAGTCAGAATAGCACAAATTTGAGAGCTACAGTGAAGTTGATTTCCCCATTCATTAATGGATTCTTCCATTAATTTCGTAACACCGTCAGAAAGGAAGCCTGCTTCATTTCCGACATACAATGTAAAATATTTCGGTTCTTGACAATGACTTGCAAGATATTGCACAAAGAAACGAAAGTGAACAAAAAATGTTGTTTTTTTTCCACAAAATTTAGTTGATCAAGATAACAGTTTAATTTACAGTACGGATATTACTTTTTGTATCCTTCCGGTTTGCGGGAAAAATCATACACAGCTCCTACTGATGAATGAATTATGTCAAAATATTTAATTCTGAGAACAAACATACGATTCAAATCATTAAATAATAAATACCAATCAGTCCATTAAAAAATTTTGCCTCAGAAAACATCTGTATCAATCTGACCTCGAGTTTAGATTATAAATTATACTAAACCGGAAGTATATGACGAAACGTCCGCCAATGAAGTAAATTGAGAAATTTTGTAACAAAACTCGTATTTCATAACAAAGAAGTGAAGATGAATACAATTATCGGTGTCCTTCGTTGAAACAGGTATTTTGTTAACTATTTGTGAAGTATTAAGGAATGACATTCAGTATTTATGTAAATTTCACCTCCCGACGTCCCGTGTTATGATTTATAAAATTATACATGTACACATGTAATTATCCATGGTGCTAGCAATTCTTAATTATCTTTATCATATTGTTAACTAAGCTAGAAAATTGCGTAATTTTAAAATAACTTAACCTCATAATATAATCAATTTAAACTTGAAAATCTTCTCAAATGACTTCCAATACAGTAATTTTTGAATTCATTTTTGAAACATGAAAATGGTTCATGTAGAGAAATAAGAGAAGAAAAAACTGAATTGACTCATGAAAATTTTGGTCAAGCAGTCTGCCACGTGAAATTCTGACCTTCCTGAGATCCCTGCTGTTTGTTGTTGTTGTTTTTTGTTTGTTTTTTTTTTTGTTTTTTTTTTTAGAAAGGGTGTAATAAACCACAGACGCTTGGGTCAACATGATACCCCTGAGTAAACACTATCAAAAAATATTTAAATATTTAAACACTAATGGGATATCTGTTACAACTATAATACTGGTTTTCGAAAAAAAATACATATATGAAAAAAATACTGTTTACCATCATGTATTGAGACTTGATTCCGGGCAGGCAGGTTGGGTCATTTTTCGTAACAGTTTTCTCAGCAACTACTTATCAGAGCCTCATGATATTTAGTATGCAGCATTAACACATTGTCCTATACCATGGGATTCGATTTTAGGTCTGTCGCTCATCCACTTCATGTTTACTGACTTAGTTAAATTCATAATAATGGTCAATGGTACGAATTTTTCGTAACAATTTTTTCATTAGTTCAATTCATAATAATGGTCAATGGTACGAATTTTTCGTAACCATTTTCTCAGCAACTACTTATTACAGACTCTTGATGTTTGGTATACAGCATTGATATGATTTCAGGTATGTTGCTCATTCACTTTCAGTTTTCTGACCTAGTGAAATTTTCGGCATTAATTGTAAATGGAAGGAAATTTCCATAACAGTTTTCGTAGCAACTACATACATATCACAGCCTCTTGATATTTGGTATTGTGACTGCAAAGTTCAGGTCTATCGCTGATCCACTTCCTGTTTACCGACTTAGTTAAATGATCGATATTAATGGTCAATGGTAGGAAATTTTTGTAACATCACAGCTTCATGAGTCATGTTATTTGGTATACAAATGCAACCCGGCCATTTTTGTCTTTGACCCATTTTTATTGAAGTATTATCCAAATTTGTACTTTGTCTTGTTAATTATGATGTCATTGTTAAAATTTTCATGACGTTAACACGCTACAGGGAGTGTATTTTTTAGCAACCTGTACTTTAAAGAAAAGAAAAAAGAGGTATTTCTATACACTTGTTAGCATTCCTGTTGCTGTCGGCCAAAAAAACATTACATTTGACACTAACCTTTAAATGACATTAAAGAATTTTATAAACCTGTTGCTTGTTTTTAAAAAGAAAAATACTTTATAAGATATATTCCTGAAGGTGAGCGATATAGGGCCATCATGGCCCTCTTGTTTAAACCTGCGATTTGTTCCTTCTGTATATAAAGTGTATAAATGTTCGTAAAAAACACCATATTTGGAGCCAAACATTAAAGCACCATTTGTCATATTCCATTGCGACTTCATTTTTTTATCAATTTGGAAGGACTTCTGTACAGAATAATAAGACACAAGCTCTTGAACAAGTGAAACATCCGATAGAACTGGTATGGTCCTTTCTTGAACCTGAGATTTGTTCTTTCTGTATATTAAGTGTATAGATTTACTTAAAAAACACAATCCGCTAAACAACCATTGATGTGATTTGTTGTGGATTTGTTTTTGAATTTAGATGGAGAGTATTCTTTTCTGAAATATAAGAAACAATTCTCAAACGTCCGGGAGACTTCCATGTGGCATTTTCTTTTTATTAGACAGCCGATTTGCAAGTAACTTTATTGAGACATAAACCTCTGAATCATATATCGTAATAAAAACAATTTGGTATTTTGTAAAACAATCGCTGAAGTGCACGTTATT